ATGTGAGTGTGGGTGACCATAAACTAGGCTTAAGTATGGCCATGTACCAACTGGAAACATTTTGATGCAAAAAATTATAAAATTTCAACAGACAAAACAAGCAAAATGAAGGTATTATACATATGATATAGGGCTGTGCGATATGACCAAAATCTCATATCCCGATATAAGAATTCTATCGTCCGATAACGATATAAATCACAAAAATGTAACATTTTCTGTAAATTCTGTGAATCTCGGGCAGCTCGACTTGCGGGAAGTGTTTCCAGCTGCGCGTCATGTAGCTGCAGTCGAGTGTTTTAACCGATGCATGAAACGATACACTTTTAGACATAAGTTGTAAAGGCCGCCGTTTTCTTTGCGTATTTATTACACAGCGTGCTGCGGGGAAAAGCCTGTTCTAACGTTTGAGTCTAAGGTTTCTTTTTTAGCACCTGGCGGCTCTTTTTTAATTCTCATCCTTAAATAATCTGCTCTTTCACGTGATTCAGTTTATTTTGAAAAGTCTCAACAGGATCTTGAGCTTTATTGTGAAAGGTTTATGTGGAACATAAACAAGCGGACACGATGCTGTTACCGTAGTTGTTGCTAATCACAACCATAAAAACAGGCGCTTGTCAAATAAAATATAAGAGAAAGAGAGAACTTTAAGAAATTAATATAGCCACTACAGTGACCATCAAAACCATGAAAAAATATTGCCGTAAACAGTTTATTTTGCGACACCACGAAACAAACGATAGCATAAAATGAAACGATAGACGGTTTTATATCGTCATCCGATATATATCGTTATATCGAACAGCCCTAATATGATACAACATCCTTTGTGGAAATGGTGCCTGTTAATCGACTCTTCATACTCATCTGAAACTATTCAGGGCCACTGTATCCAGAATTTTCCCTTATAATTCCAGCATTTCTCAGGCACATTAATCGTGACCTGAATATTGCTCTTGCTCTTAAAAAGTCTATCAAAGTCACCTCAGTCATCCCTGGTGGTCTCAGGATCAGCACCTTGGAGAGCGGCAGCGGCACAGTTTTTAAAGGTTGTAAATGATTCACCTGAGCTGTGTTGGAAACGGGATGCTTCATTTCAGCAGATAAAATCACATCATATAAATATGAGCTGGACTTCCAAGTTTTTTTGTTTTTTTTTAACTGACTCAGTGTTTTTACCGAAATGGCACCTATGCATTAGTTTCCTTAACAAAGCGGGTCAGACTCCTTCCTGTGTGCACCTTATCTCAAACATTTCTTCTAAGTTGTTTGAACAGTTACATGATTTCCTCTCTCTGCTGCCAATTTTCAAATTAAATTTTGTATGCTACTGTTTCATCACCTGGTTACTTCCCTGCATCCCAACGACCTGCAAAATAGAAACATCACGGAGTTCATTCTTATCCAGGTAACAAAAAGCAATTGCAATTACATTTGCAGTGCATCAATTTGCATTGTGGTTCTGCTCCGTCCTTGCTTCTATTTTATTCTGCTAACACTGAGCGCATATTTTACATGAATTATTCATTGATTGTTACAAGTGAATTACAGAAGGGCTGCTCTTGGTAAATGGCAATAAAATGGAAAGATAATAGGTTGTATGACACACCATGCAACGGTTCTTATTTTCCTTTCAGGCAAAAACTGTAAAGATTCATTCTGAAGGTCATGTAGCCAGACAGTCCATTTAGCTTGAATCACACACATGAATATGAAACTGAATCTCTTTGCTAAATGGCTGGATCCAAATCAGTGCATACTCAGGTCGTGGTAGGATTATTGAGTTGTGTTCAAGGACGTGGGGTCATCTGTGAAAAAGCGTGATCGTTCCTGCCCCGCGTCTCAGATGTTCTCAAAGTTCAGTGCAGATTTCGCTGCCGTCAGATGTCACCAGTGAGAAATCAGACATGGAGAGCAGCAGGCAGGTGTTTGTTCTGGAAATGCGCTGTACTTCGGTCATTTTTAGCAGGCGTTGTCACGGACATCACAAAGTGTCGTTGTTTTTAGATTTTATATACACAGCTAGGAGTGGCTGTGAGTGAACTTCAGTCTAAGGGTCGGTCATGTTGAGTTTCTTTTTTTAGAACGTACTCAATAAAATTATGACCAGCTGACCTAGAGATCACACCCGCGCTCAAATCACTTTCTTATCTTTCTTCCATGTCACCCTAAGGCACAGGACGTTCAGTCTGCTTTTGCTGCAGATGTGTTTGGCTGGACGCTCGTGTTTGACTTTGGTGTGTGATGTGGTCGTCTTGTGGCAGCAGTGCTCCCCGGAATAAACATTTACACAGTCTCTTGTTAGTCCTTCAGACTTTGCCAGAGTCAATACATTGACTGCAGAAAACATTTTTAGAGAGCGCTACTCAATGGCATGAAACAAGCCGCCACACATGGATTCTTTAACTTATTCAATAAAGATTCGGTGAGAAATCAGTTTAGGGTAGCTTTTCATATTGGTGCGGCCTTTATTAAACTGCCTTTTATTATGAATTGACATAATTACAAGCAGCAGATATGAGTCGGGAAGCAATTAAGTAATCAGAGATAAAAATCATGCCCCGCCTTATATTGTCTTTTTTATCGTTCATTATTAATTTTCATTCGTTATGGCGATGGACACAAGTTCACGAGCTTGGTTTCTTTAACTTTTTAATTCATTCAATTCAGTTTTATTTATACAGCGCCAAATCACAACAACAGTCACTTCAAGGCACTTTTATATTGTAAGGTAGATCCTACAATAATACATAAAGATTTGGCCAAGAGGCACTGAACTTGTGCTCAGATGTGTTTCTCTCACTGGAGAGGATTTCACCTCGGGGGTCAGTACATCATCAAGTCATTGTTTACTCATTCTGTTTGAGATTTGGCAGCGTCTGAGCTCTCCTCACCTTCACTTCTGTGATTTTACTGTGAGAAAACCAAGAAATGTGTCCACTTATTTTTCAAATCAGCAGCAACGTAATCATTTTTAGTGTCACTAATGGATCCCTATTCCAGGAGGTCTTGATCAAAAGACAAATTATCATGTTTTTATGTGTTTGTTGTGGTTCTGCAAAGGATAAAGGCTAAGAGTGCGTGACACCGACTGTTCCAGATGGAGTTCTCGGTCGGGAGGAGGGAGCCATAACTGGCCACAGGCTATTTAGAAAGGAGCTGCTTGCCCCCCACGCGAGGAGAATGCAGTCGGTTTATGCCAAGAGCTGTTTACATTTAATGCTTCCCCATAAAAGAACCCCCCCCCCTTCCCACTGGTTTAACCATAGAAGGAAGTAGGCTGTCATTGGTCCCCATGAAGATACAAACTTAAAAACCCAAGCAAAGTCATTTGCGGCATAGAGGCCTCTTAAAGACCACTGGAGGCTTCGTAGTAGGTGGCCTCATCATCTGATTTTAAAGCATGTCACTGTTGTTGTTGTGTTGTGTGTAAGCCTTGGGGAACAGTGGTGAGGTTTTAGTGGATGCGATCGGCTTTTAAACAGGTAAACATGGTAAATGGCCTGTATTTATATAGCGCTTTACTAGTCCCTAAGGACCCCAAAGCGCTTTACACAACCAGTCATCCACCCATTCACACACTGGTGATGGCAAGCTACATTGTAGCCACAGCCACCCTGGGGCGCACTGACAGAGGCGAGGCTGCCGGACACTGGCGCCACCGGGCCCTCTGACCACCACCAGTAGGCAACGGGTGAAGTGTCTTGCCCAAGCCGAGACTGTCCAAGCCAGGGCTCGAACCGGCAACCTTCCGATTACAAGGCGAACTCCCAACTCTTGAGCCACGATCGCCCCTTCTTCAGAACCTGATCATCCACAAACAAAAATTCTTTTTAAATGACTTTAGTAGTGTAACGAATCCAATTATTGAAATACAGCAAAAAAAAACAGAAGAGAGAAAAAATGAAACTGTTCCAGACTAGAACTATACTTTTAAAAATTATTTTAGAGAAAAATTAGGAAATAGGGGCTTAATAGTTTTTTTTTTATAATTATTCACATCAGAAAAGAAGAGTCTTGTAAGTCCGCTCAAGAAATGTATTATAAATTGCTATCTGACCTGCAAAGGTGCAGTGTTGTGAACTACTCCCACCTCGAGCAGCAGTAGAACATCAGCGCAGATGCTGTTGCTGCATTGCAGTCTCAACTTAAACGCACCACGTTTTTCTTTTTTGCACTGCACCAGAGCATTTGGTTCTGTTTGAACTTGTACTCCAAAGCTGGTTACAAAACTCGTGTACCTTTCAGTGTCGCCCGGCAAGCACAATTATAGTGACGCTGAGGCTAAAGGAGCACAGATTGGAAACCAGCTATAATGTAAATCTGGCAAGAAAACATCTACGGGGCTGCCACTGAAGCAACTTTATGACTAACATTTCTGTTTTAACATTTCATAGAATACTTAAAAATTCTCTGTTATCACTGTTGGCATCACTGGGTCGGATTAAAATAATAACAGATGGTGTGATTTTTCTTTTTTTGTGTGGTTGAACATTAAAACTAAGTAAATTATAAACTCCTATCTGAGATTGTCTGAATGTGTGGCAAAGGTTGTCAGCTGCCCTGGTGCGCGGGGATAAAATGATACTAGCCTTTCTAATGTTCGGAGCATTGCTCATGTCTCATTCTGGAAACGGTGATCTTTTTATAGTGTCAGTGCTGACAGCAAACCCTCTGCACGATCTGATTTGATTCCTTTGAAGTGCAGACTGTGATTTCTTATTGTAGATATCTGAGATGTCCTCAGCTTTTCTCACTGGAGTGCACTGGAGTGCTATCATTGTTTCATCAAAGCCAGTTCTGCTTCATCATCATCTATCCCGAATCTTTCATTTATGTGTGTCTCCCCTCCCCTCTCTCCTAGTCCCACCCAGACTTCTTTGTTTTTGGTTTTCTGAGGAAGTCACGGGGAGGTGTTGTCAGGAGGTGTTGAAAAAGAGTAATCATAGCTTATGACACTAATCTGTTTCTGTCTCTCCTCTCTCTCTTTTCTCCGGCAGGTGAAAGAACGTGCAGACCGACTGTCTCACACTAAGCTATGGAATGCTCTCTGCTCCCACCATCACTAACCTCCAATCTTTGGACTGAGCTCCAAACGCTTAGTTAGCGGCTGTGCTTCTCCCCTCAGACTCTTTATAACCAGGGGACGAAGAGAAGGTGTGGGCTTACCAAGTCCTCCGCTAAAAACGCACAGAGCACTTCATCTTTTTTTTTCTTCTTCGTCTTTTTTTGTAGATATTTTAAGCAGGATTTTCGTTTCTTTGCATATTTTTCTCACCTGAAATCATATCAAGATGGATCTGGAGTCGTATCTGTGGATGGTGGTTATTGGCTTCATCATTGCCTTCGTCCTGGCATTTTCAGTCGGAGCTAATGATGTGGCCAATTCATTTGGCACAGCAGTGGGATCCGGCGTGGTCACTCTGAAGCAGGCCTGCATCCTGGCATCCATCTTCGAGACGCTGGGTTCAATGTTGCTCGGGGCCAAAGTGGGAGAGACGATTCGGAAGGGCATCATAGATGTCAGCCTCTACAATGACACGGTGCCCGTGCTCATGGCAGGCGAGGTCAGCGCCATGGTTGGTAAGTTGAATTTGCTCTTACATCCACTGAGTGACGCAGTTGCCGCTAATGTCTTAAGCCTCATTTTAGACATGCAAATCCTTATGTTTATCTGATGGACAGTTTTAGGCCATGCTGGAATAAGCACCAGAGTCAATTTTTCATGTAAAAGCCACAACAGCACTTCTACTAAATAGACCCAGTGATTGTTTTTATTTTTATTTTTTAAATTTGCAACCTGTCGCATGTCTGAATGAAGTTTGAAGTAACTTGAATGTGCAAAAAAAACTTGGATGTCGATGAAATTTAGGATTCATTATTTTATTTTATCCTTTACAAATCACATCAGACTTCATCAAAACTTGTAACAAACACGATTAGTGGAGAACATGCTTGACTTTTTGATGTTATAGCTGCTAAACAACTGTTAACAAACAGGAAACAACCATGAGACTGGAAATAAGAATAATAGTTGTCAGTAGCTCTGAAAACAGTCTGTAAATGCTTTTTATTAGAGGTGCTTAAGTGTATTTTTCTTTTCTGTCTTCTAAGACTGTTAAAAGGCTTTTGAATGAGCCGCGATGGAAGAGAGACATTTGACTTTGTTGCCTCGGCGAATTTTTTTTTTTCCTGAAATTTTTTGACGAGAAAAGAAATCTTTAAAAGTTGATTCATTTGCTAATATTAGTTGTGATGCTAGTTGCAGCCAAGAGAAACTCCTGCGACTTCCACTCCATAGATGAAAAATGTGTTACCAAAGGTGCCCCCCTCCCCCCATCACTCCAGTGTTACTACTACAAGTTTCGATCCTTATCCAGCAAAGGGTCACACAGAGCCAAAGATCTATTTTCAGCCATTCGGCCACACGATCAAGTATTCCTACAGCAGTTTTCCTGATGTCAACATCATCCTGTCCGTCTAGGATTACAACAACACATGCTTTTTCCTAGTAAAATAATAAATAAAAACTCTTTACATTAGAAATCTTTCTCACATGCCTAAAAGATTTGCACATTGCAGTAATATATGGTATATATTAAAGAGGAAATGCTTCAGTTTTTTTTTTTTGTCCCCATCACCTGTAAAGTTGTAAAATAAGAGAAAAATTAAAAAATTACTTTCCAACAGCCCAAAAGACAATTTTTTAAAACTTCAACAATGTCTTATTTATTACCTCATATAAACTACTTTGATATGTATTTTTCAATATTTACCATGTCACAAATTAGGCCCTGCTAATCCTCCCGAAATCCACTAAATCCATAGCTTAATGCAGACATAGACCTTTATAAAAGGCTTAGAAATGAATTTGAATTTAACAATAATGTTATTATCCTGGGCTCAGCTGGTACTTGTGACATGCACCAATCCTCATGTATGTATCATAATTACTGTTATTAAGCAGTGCACCTCACTCACTTTCTTACTGTACATGAAAGGCACTGCACGAAGTGGTTTTTTTTTTTTTTATGTATTTTCAGATCAAACTTTATTGGGGCTTTGCAAATGTTAGCTAACCTTGCAGCATTGTAAGTATTTCCTAAGAGCCGCAGGAAAACAAAACTCCTGAAGTGAAACATAAAGAGGAATTGTTGAGTATCAACTGGAGACTCGCACACCACCATTTCAGTAAAAGCAGAAAACAATGGGTCTCCCATTAGGACAATACCATTTTGATGACAGACTGCTGGCAAACGTTGATTTAAAAAGGGCAGCATTATGCACAGGGGATTCCCAAGGAGATGAAAATTCAGGTGTGGCTGGCTGCCACAGGTCACTGTTGGAGAAACGTTTTAACTGGCATATTGTTCATGCATAATTAAAGAAGTTTTAACCTATTGTTAAAACTTCCTCCAGTGCTTCTTGTGTACTGGAAGCTTTGGTGTTTTGCTGGAGTTTAAAGTCTAATTTAGGGCTGACAATGATTTGTCCTATTATCTGCTTCTCTAGGATAATGAAAACAACCGCATGTATAAAATCTCCAGCCAAAATAAGCTTTTAAAAGGTTGCCTCCCCCCCCCCCTACAGGTTATAAGTGTACTATGTACACCCAAAACAGTGCTTAACAGCTAACTCGATGAGTGTTTCTAGCTCTACTTACCGGAGCACTGAACAGACACCATGCTAACTCAATTTATGGAAATGTAAGCCGAGAGAAATGGTACACATTTTTCTACACATACACATTCCCTAGCGCCACTCGGCTAAAACTGTTGTGAACCTCAGCTGTGTGCATGAGTCAGTGCAGTTTCCTGGTTCAGCTGTTGATTGGCTCTTTGGAGGCAGGTTGTGTCATCCCTCATAGAATACCTCTGCTGTAAAACTGTTTCGGCCCCTCTTAATTCCTGTCCTCAGCCCCCTTCAGGTCATGCCACAGCATCTCAATTAGATTAAGGTTAAGGCTCTGGCTTAGCCTCCGCAACAAATTTTCCTTTTTCAGCAGCTCTGTTGTCATTGTTTCACTGTGTGCGCTTTGGGTCATTGTCTGCTTACATCACCCAAAATCTCCAGAGCTGCAGGTCATGATCCGCTGCCCCTAAAGTTATCTTGTAATTTTCAAATTCACTGTTTCCTCAGTGATTTGACAGGGCGCTCTTTCACTACACACATTTTATGACTTTATTTATAGAGAGAGGTACCTCTATAAACCCACACTTCCAGTTTTTCCTGATTTTAATGAGCTTTTTAAAGTCTTAGTCTCAGATGTTCTTTTCGATTTTCCAGCTTGGGCCATGAAACTACTCTCTGTGTTGAACTTTGTCTGTGTTATTGGTTTAGTTAAAATATTTGTCTCTAATGAATGTAGTGATTTAGAAGACATATTTGAGTGATTATTTCGAAACTTTTTCTCACGACTGGATCTTAAAATATTCCTCTTTTTAAATATATATAATCTTCTATGTCAAAAACACTGCAATTACTCACATCATTGAGCAATTTTTGAATAGCAGTCTTTGTTAAAGGAGGGATAAACAAAGCCTAGTGTAGTTTTCAGATTATACTTTTGTCTCAGCTTCTATAAACACTGCAAACTTAAGGCAGTCATTTGGAATTTCAAATGGCACTCTCAGGCCCTCATTTAAGATGTTACATGATGTCACACAAACTGCAGATGGGAATTAACTGCTAATTTTCCCAAGAGATTGTTTTTGTGCATGGAGGCGGACAAATAAATAAACTAAGCTAAACGTTAGATTTTTGTCTCTGTTTTGGTCACAGGGTCAGCCGTCTGGCAGCTAATCGCCTCCTTCCTCAAGCTCCCCATCTCTGGGACTCACTGCATCGTTGGCGCCACCATCGGCTTCTCTATGGTAGCCATCGGCACAAAGGGAGTACAGTGGATGCAGCTTGTCAAGATTGGTAATGGCAGAAGATTGTATCAGAGATGAAGAGTTTGTGTGTGTGTGTGTGTGTGTGTGTGTGTGTGTGTGTGTGTGTGTGTGTGTGTGTGTGTGTGTGTGTGTCTATAATAACTGCCCCATTTTCCAGTGAAACCTGATGGAATAGAAACCACTCTGAGATATGCCCAGTGGAGTTTGATTTTTAGAAAGGTTTCTAGGTTTTTAGTAAACAACAATCTTCAGATTGTGTTTCCAAGTACATGATTCACTTTATACCCAGTACTTTATTGAGTTTAGTTTAGGCAGATAAACCTATTTCTTCCTTGTTAAGAGCCTCTGTCATACATCATACAGCATCCTCGAGCTCAGCATCCAATAATAATGCATACTTTAAAGAATAATAAACTCTCACGTCACCATAAAACTGGTTATTGGGATTTATTCTCATACTTAAATACATAACGCATAAATGAAATGACTTGGAATTCATTTTAGGAAGAGAACTGATGGCTAAAAACACAAAAAACTATTAAAACGTAGAATTTCTAGTTGTAGAGAGTTGGCAAGGCTCTCCTGTCGTTTCCTCATTAACATTTTTTAATTCTTCTTCAGTGGCGTCTTGGTTCATCTCCCCCTTGCTCTCTGGACTCATGTCTGGACTTCTCTTTATGCTCATCAGACACTTCATCCTCAGCAAGGTAGGCGCACATCACTTTCAACTAATGCTGTGTTCAGTTTTGTGACACTGCCCTTGCATTTGCAGCCGTTGCACTCTCCGCACTCACACTTAGCTGCCAATCTGGTCATTTTAATATAAGAAATCGGAGACAGACTTGCACGTGTACGCCCAACTTGTCTGAAAGAACTTGAGCACAGATAAAAAAAAACCATTTGATATGGCAACACCCGCGTATTTGTTATGTAATGGGAAAGCTCTGGCAGACTAGGAAGTGCTGCAGATCATCCGAGGGTCACGACTGCAGGATTATATATGAGTGAGTCACGGGAAGATTTGCCGTTTGGGCCGGTGTTACTGCATAGATGGGTCAAATTAGGAATGAGTTCATTTTTGCGTCTGCGGGCTATTTGCATCAGAATATTCGATCTTTCTGTTTTGTGTTTGCAGGGTTGAGATTTGTTACTTCTGTAAAATCCACATCCCATTTAGTGTCATTTTACATTTCACCTGCCTCATTAGTCATATTAATTATTAACCTTCTGATAAAAGCAAGCCATGGTTGTGCAAGATGGAATAATTGTATTACTCCACACCTTTAAATTGACCTGAGCTAAACTTTTAGCCAGAAGATGTTCTCATTTTAGCTAATATGTTATTGTGTTGTACATGTTTTGTTTTATGATTTATTATCATTATTGTTGGATTTCCTTTTTTACTTCACAGGATGACTCTGTTCCAAACGGATTGCGAGCATTGCCCCTCTTCTACGCCTCCACCATTGGTATCAACACATTCTCCATCATGTATACTGGAGCTCCATGTAAGTGCTTATTCCCAGTATATCTCTGATTATTTAACCTGACACCAGTGTATGATCAAATTATCACCTCAGGGATGGAAGCGCTTGTTAGTTTGCTCAAAATTCCTCTTGAATGTGTGATGCCAGTACATGATTTTGTATTTTTTATTTTTTTAATGTGTGTTCATTAACTGCAGTGCTCGGGTTGGAGATGCTACCGGTGTGGGCCATCTTTCTCATCACTTTAGCTGGCTCGCTGGTCTGCGCAGCTCTGGTCTGGATATTGGTCTGTCCCTGGATGAGGAGAAAGATTGCAAGTAAGTATCTGTTAAATTTGGTTTAGGGTTAGGGTAAGTGTTGTGTTTAGGTATTTGGTTTTATGTAAACGAATGTCCTCACAAGGATATCCATACGAGTGTGTGTGTGTGTGTGTGTCCAGTCTGTCTCTCTCACGCCATGTGAAAACGCTCTGACACCAAACAACGGAAGCCAGGGCATGTGCTTTCTTGTTGGCCTCTGCCAGAGGCACTAAAGCCACCAGAAAAATCCCTGTGAACTCTCCAGTGCTCCACTTAGATTTTTGGGCGTAGAGCTACTTGGTCAGATGAAAGAGGCTAAGATCGTGGCCTGCAGTGTAGAAAGCTTTCAGGATCAGGGCTGGGAATTGTTTCCCTAATGGGAAAACCAGCCCACAGCAAAGCAGGCAGTGCTATAAAACTCATGACACAGAAAATTAAAACATTGGAAAAAGTAGACAGTGGTGGATAAAGACAAGGCACAGCTCTGTTTATTTTAACTTTGTGCTGGATAAATAAAAGGTTCTTTGTGTAAGAGCTCAAACACTTGATCCAAAAAATCTGATCGATGCCAGAAATGCTTTGCACTATAAAGAAATATAAATAAAATTTAATAAGAAGCCGAGTGGTATTTATAGGCCATGAAAAATAATATCTATGTTTAGGCCAAAAAAAAGAATGTTTTTTTCCATTGACTCGTGGTTTGTGTGACCGTGTCATGAACCCCCTAATGCCTGCGAGGATTACAGGTAAAATTATTGGTGCTAATCTGGATATTACTGCATCCACTTAAATAAAACAGGTCATAACTCTGATTGGGGTTTTTTTCTCTACTGGGGTATTCAAAGAGTCGGGTAGGCACTGGGATAATTTAGATAATCTGTTTCTTGTCAGAAGTTTTGTCTCCCGAACCTGAAAGCAGAAGCAACAGCTTTTTTTAAGCGTGAAAAGTTGCAAATAAATTCTAATCTTTTTTTTTTCTTTCCCTTTTTTTGTCTAACTATTGTTTTGCTTTCTTAACTGGCTGCCATCCAGATTGGTTTCCTTGAAATCCTTTAATAATAAAAGGCTTCCACAATACAGTTGTGGCTTTCCTTTTCATGATGGATTTAAAGCAACCTGCAAAAATGTCCTAACTCGGTGCTCTTTCAACTGCTGCTTGATCTCCTCCAGGTCGTTTAAAGAAAGAGCAGGCTCTGTCGAGGATTTCTGATGAGAGCCTGGATAAGATCCCTGAAGAGGAGGAGGAGAGCCCCGTCTTCAAAGAGTTACCAGGGGCGAAGGGCACAGATGAGGCTGTGATGCCGCTCACAGGCGGCAGCAGTGACCGGGGCACCCGCGAATCCAGCAGCGAGCTCACCAACCTGGCGAATGGAGGCACTATCCTGCCAAACGGCAGGGTGTATGGTACAACTGGACATTTATAATAATATTTGATAAGAGGAGAGTAACTATAGCTTTATTTATGCATTAATACTTATTAGCATAAATAAACTTGCCATTAATGGAGATCAAACTCGTCGGTCATCATCATTAATATCCTGCTCCCACGCAGACTTTTCATTAATCGTCTGTCTTCCAGGTCGGACACACTCAATGACGAACGGCAGCCTCAAATCCCCCATCTCTAACGGCAGCTTCAGCTTCGATGGCCACATGCGTAGCGATGGCCAGGTGTACCACACGGTGCACAAAGACTCGGGTCTGTACAAAGACCTGCTTCACAAAATCCACCTGGGCCGCATGGATGACAACGAGCGCTCCAACGCCGGCCCGCCTGACAACAATTACCGCCTGCTGCGCCGCAACAACAGCTACACCTGCTACACAGCGGCAATATGCGGCATGCCCGTCCAGCCGATGCGCTCCGAATCACGCGAGGACAGTGAAAAGCTGGTTGGTGAGGGAGGCGTCAGGAGCAACAGCGTGTCTTACTCCAAAAAGCGGATACGCTACGACAGCTACTCATCGTACTGTAACGCCGTGGCCGAGGCTGAGATCGAGGCCGAGGAGGGCGGAGTGGAGATGAAGCTTGCCACAGACCTGGAAGGGGTGGAGGAAGAAGGGGCTGCACCTCCAGGGCCGGACGACTTGGAGGATCAGGAGGAGAAGGACAAACCTGAGGTGTTTCTGCTTTTCCACTTCTTGCAGATCCTCACCGCCTGCTTCGGTTCTTTCGCCCACGGAGGCAACGATGTCAGGTGCTGCCCCCTACGTGTTGCATGACAGATAGCGACCTTTATGGTCCAGAGTACATTTCTCTGTCAACTAAATATAAAAAATCATCTTCACGCTGCTCTTTGGACTTGAGTATATAATGCCTGAATAAGGTTTTTATCTACTTTCTTGTTTGTAGTAATGCCATTGGGCCTTTGGTGGCACTGTGGATGATCTATGAACAGGGCGGTGTGATGCAGGATGCTGCCACTCCTATCTGGCTGCTGTTTTACGGTGGTATAGGCATCTGTGCCGGCCTGTGGGTATGGGGCCGCCGCGTCATCCAGACCATGGGGAAGGACCTCACTCCCATTACCCCCTCAAGGTGAGAAAGTCGCCTCACAGGAGAGTGAGTGCACATGTGCGTGTCTGTGGATGCGGTTGGGTGCGTTTGAAGGAGAGTTGTGCTGCAGAGGTGAACTATCCACCATGCTTTGGTTTTACGCGCTCCATAGAGCCTCAACACGCTGACACAAACAAGTTCATAGAGGGCTCCCAGCCTCAATGGTGAGTACTTACTTTCCCACAGCCGTATTAGAATGCTTATGCACAATGTCTTAAAGGCAGTAAAGTGCAAATGAACAATCAGAAGATACTTAGTAATCCATGTGCAGACAGCAAAATGCATAAAGCAGTTTGTCTGTTGTGTAACTAATGAATGTTCTGATTCTCCCTCACTCTCTGCCAGGGAGTGACCTGCACACACAGTGTTGATGCCTCATGTTTATCATCAGAGGTCAGACAGATCGTTTAAATGAAAAGATCTGTGTGTTCAAATCCATTACATTTGAGTTTATTAGGTAAAATACAAAGACTGAATGGATTTTTTTTATTACTTTTTCCTGCTATAAACGTATAAATAAAAATTTGGTGATAAATAAATCTTGATCTCAGCATTAAGCACGCTATTTATGATTTTGGGAATCATCCCAGACTTTGCTAGAAATAATTCTTACTACTTTTTTACAGAAATCTGCTTTAATAATAGTATCTTAGTAGTGCCTAGGGAGTGAAATAGTAGTGCTTTTTTTTTTTTCTCAGATTTTTTTGACCTATTACATAAAAAATTCTGAATAAACAAGTAGACTTTCGGACCACAACAAACAAAGCCTGAGGACACTGGCTGTCTGATAACCTGAGCAGTAGACGTCTCACATCCACAAACCCGTGCTGTTGCTCTGTCCTTGACTTCAGTCTCCTCCTCCCTCTCTCTCTTCTCTTCCCACGCATAAGATGAAGAGTTTGCGTGTGTGCGTGTGTGCGTGCGTGCGTGCGTGCGTGTGCGTGCGTGCCCGCGTGTGTCTGTGCATACCACCGAGTTGTTTGTGTGCTGAGGAAACCGAACTCTGCAAGTCACTGTGCATTGAATGTACTGTATGTGTCCGAGCATGCATGCACATTAGGGTCTAATTGTTCCAGCAAGGCGTTTTGAGGTGTGTGTGTGTGCTTGCGTGTGTGCGTACGTGCATGTGTGTGTTTGAGTGACTGTGTTTTGTTGCCTGGCAGGAACATCACACAGGGTTGCAGGAAGCTGTTTGGCATTCTGGGTGAAGAGAAGTAGAGCAGGAGGGGTGAGGGAGGGCCACAGTGGGAACCGTAGCCTCTCTTCTCCAACCGCAGGGAGGGACGCCAGTCTGACTCTTGCACTTCTCTTCCCCCCCCGTCCTCCTTTCTCCTTCCTACCCACTCCTGTAAATCACTATTTTTGTGGTTAACCCTCTTCTTCTTCTCAGCGCCCTGCTTTTTTCTTTTTCTTCATTCCTTTACATCTTGTTTTGTTTTTTTTTTACGTCTCACCTAAAGAGCTTTCTCTCTCTCTCTCCCCTTTTCCCTACAGTCTCTTTCTCACGCTCACGCCCACGCCATCTCATTATTTTCCCTTCCCTCATTTCTCCTCTTTTTGTTTGGGCTCTCTCTTCTTTGTCTGTCTCCTTTCTCTCTTAATCTCCCTCCTTCCATCACCAGCTTAGACTTTTTGCCAGGACCCAAAGACAAATTTGCACTGGTTCACCGTTCTAAAGACTTGATTTCCTCCAGTGTCTGTTTCCATGCATCACTCTGAAAAGAAGTTTGTTTGGGGCAAGGACACGGAAGTGTTTATATGTGTGTCTGCGGTCTATGTGCCCGGGAATATATTTTAGCAGCCGCAGCGAACACCTAAAAAGTGCAATGTATCACAGCAGTAAAAAGACTTTTGAAACTTGAAGTATGGATTTTCATCCTTCTGCCCAGCTCTGCTGTTGAAGCACCACAGGGACAGATTGCTGCAGATCTACCAGGCTCTGCAAAGCTTAACCAGCAGAACTCAGAGAAACACAAACAATCATATCTCTTTGTGATGAGTCGATATGGCACACTTGTCCAGTTGTGTATAGTTTATTGTTGCTGTTGAGAGGTGGAGCGAATGGTGTGAGTTTTTTCTGTAGCTTTCTTGCAAGACCCTCTACTCCTACATTCTGACATGAGCTGGGGGAAAGCACAGGTCTAAGTAATACAGTTAACATTTGCCTAATGGCTATCAATTTCTGTAGGCCATGAGTTGGGGCCAAGTGGCCATTTACAAAATTAATCAGGTGACATCACTGGTGCTCTGCTGTCTTAGAGATTGGCTCCTGCTGCTCGACCACTCTGCACTCCGCCTGCAGTGACATTTAAATTTCAGTCGTATCTTCATCTGGAACCTTAGCTCAGTGTTTCTGACGAACGTTATTGGCTGCCATCTAGTAAGAAAAAAGCCACATTTTTCTCCTTTTAAGTTGCATTTTCATGCATTTAGTTTAATTTTTTTCCCCTCTTTTATGATTTGGAAGTTTATTCTAATGTCTAATGTCTTCTCTGTGTGTGTCCTGAAAGCAGCTCGTGGCTTTAGAGAAACTGTCTTCTAGTAAGCACAAGGCAGCACAGAAACACACCAACACAAAGGCCTGTTTGTATATCACATACTGAAACTGTGTCCATTATGAATAACACACTGGTGTGTAATACCTGGTAGAAATGCTGTGTTTAGTGTGTGTGTGTGTGTGTGTGTGTGTGTGTGTGTGTGTGTGTGTGTGTGTGTGTGTGTGTGTCAGATATTTAATATTATTTCTGTTTTTCAAATGTGTGTTGGGTATACTTTAAAGAACTGCTGAATGCTCTGCAATGGTTTTATATGTGGATGCCAGTGAGATCGTGCCATCATGAGCATCATCCAAGACGTCACAATGAAGAATGTCTCTTTGCTCCCTCCCCCCTTCCCTTCCTCTCCCTTCCCTTCCTTCCACAGTGGATTCACTATTGAACTGGCTTCTGCAGTCACAGTCGTGTTCGCTTCCAATATCGGAATCCCTGTCAGTACCACACACTGCAAGGTATGACTGAGTGGCCTTCCAGCTGGCCTCTCAACTCCCTTTCAGGCATTTCCAGGGGACGGGGAGCTCACACTGCCTCCCAGGCCGCCGGGCTGGACTGAGCTAGAATCGCACACACACACACCGCTTTAGCTATAATTAGTGCTTAGTCATGTCGTGAGATAATTAGCTAAAATCTGTTTTAGTTTACTATAATTTTATGCCTACCTCCCTACAAGTGCTCTGCTTCTTAGTTAAATTTCTCCACAGAAATCAAAGCTCAGATTATTGTGGCAGAGAAAAAAAAGGATAATTGCAGTTTATGAAAACGTGGGTCTTATTTATTAGTTTTGACCTTCTTTTCTGTCTGTTGTGATCACTTGTACAAGCTAGGCCGAAAGCCGTGAGCACGGCATCATTAGTCCAACAAAGTCAGTAACACGGGCCCTACTGTCGGGTGTGTTGTGGTAAAAAAAAAAGCAAGAAAGTATTTTCCTGTGGAAATCAGCAGGGAGCCTGACTCGGTTAAATTTCCTAATACCAGTTTTACAGTTACATTTTAATTTTATCATTAAAATCTCTTTAAACATTATCCTCTAGCTGATTTACTGAAATCCAGGTGATAAAAATTCTCGTAAGTCTGAGTTGCCTTTAATTATTACAGGGCGCTCCAGGCGGCTTTTCAAATAGCAGAAGAAGCTCTGCTCAATTGTTTTTGGTCCGATTTGCCATTTCTATCATTTCCATCCTCATGAGTGAAAAATGAACCCTAATATTTCCAGTTTGGTAAAGTGTTTCCCACAGTGATCACAGTAACGGCATCGTTAGTAGAAATCGTTGTCAAAACGATGTAAATACCACTCATTTTCTCATAAACGAGACTTATCCTCCGCAGGAACTGATAATCCTAACCAATCTTTGAGGTGCATGAGAAGATCAAAACGAATCCATGTCCAGCCCGCTACAACCAGCCCCAGGCAGCAGTGTGCAGCCCCTCTCCCCTGTTCTTTTCAGGAACAGCAGATCGAGGCTGGAATTCGAGACGGACCCCACCAGTCCCAGTCCTCCCCTGCCCGCCCCCATCAACACGGTGTCTCATTCTCTGTTTCATTTCCACTAAGTCTCTTCCATTTTGCCCTCTTAGCACTGGCATGGTTTGGTGTGTGTGTTTTCGACCCTGCCGTGCTTGTCCGCAAGCAGACCTCAACCTCCCAAATACCTATCACCCCCCCCCCCCCGAAACCCACCTGTCACACTTGTTTTCCACTTTTTTTTACCTCTCCATCTTTCTCTGTCTGTCTCTCTACTCATCTATCTTCACAGCGGATTTTGCATTGAAGTAATGAGTGCGCTAACAGTGCTTGTTGCATCAAATGTGGGCATCCCAATAAGCTCCACCCACTGCAAGGTATTGGTAGTGAAGTCATCCTAGAGAGCCCTCCGGGAGCTCGCCTTCATCGCTTCACCTGTAGCTGTCAATCGCCAAAGCCAATCACAACTCCCGAAGTTGACGTTTTGATTTCTCGTGCAGTTTTCCTTCAGCAACACAACCCCAAGTTTGACTGAAAGGTAGCTTTGTAAGATTAAAGAATGTTATCAGGCAGTTACGTGCATGTTTATTAGACATACAGCAAATACATAGATATCATCTTTATTTATTTATTGTTTTTTGTTTATTAAATTAGTAGTAAAAGTTTTTTTTAATAGATGAAAAACTAGGAATATTTGTTAAACGAATACACAAGTAGAGAGTTTGATGATCACTAAATATTAAGCTATTGGCGTTAGCCTCTTAGCTACTTGTAAAGCTGAAGCTGGATGAAACACCTGAAATGTTTGTTTTTAGCTTATATAAGATCATACGTGCAATAATCAGTGAAAACAGGAATGCAAAAATGTTAGCTCCACTGAAGGGAAACTGCACAAGACTCAAAACTGGGTTTAAGTTACTGGTGATCTATTTGTCTAAACATCAATATCATCGCCATCCATACCTTATCTTCATTTCTCACCTCCAAATGCCTTCGCATTTCCTTCCTAAAAACCTTGGATAATCAACTGCTCTGCTAAAATGCTAAATCTACTGATGGTTAGAGGTATATAATCGTGGTGGTGATTTGAATGATTTAGTGATTCTTATTTATTTGTTTATTTTAAATGTGGAGATGGTCCACAGATGATGCTGGACTAAAAAAAAACACTAGCAAGACTTGCAGCTCTTTGACATTTTAAATTGTTTGGTTTTCCGAAAGTAGCCAGCAACATCTGTCAACATCTTCAGTGTGTGTGTGCGTGTGTGAGAGAGAGTGTGTCTGTATCTGTGTCACTGGCATCCATTCGGTTTCAGTGAAGTTCTGTTGTGTATGAGTGATAAATTTTCTTTTCAGGTCTTTTGTGTGTGTGGGTGTGGAAGTTAAACCGAATGGATGGGTGTGTGGGTCGGTGTGGTATGGTAATGTGCAGTGACTCGTTTCAAAAACTCAAAAGCAATACGAACACTGAGGTCACACCGAGTTCAGAATTTGTTGCTCCGTGCTTGACATACTAAAACCATCAAACAAACAATGTGACCACTGAGTTAAATATTGTTCAACACATGCACACCCTGCTTTGGAAAGAGGAGAATCCAAGAAATGCTACATTAAAGTATCTTGCGTTTAAGTAGAGAGGCTACATGACCTGAATGTCTTTTCTGGGAGATATTTTTGTGAGTCTAGTAGAGCTTAGTCTTATTAAGACTGACTAATAAACCAAAAGAACAGGCTGGACTCTGTTGGCCCGACCTTCCACATTTAGTCAGCGTGTGACAGACGGTGTCTCATGTTGCTGCGGCCATATAAGAGCAGGGAAACGCGGTTTAACTCCCGCCCACCTGTAGCGTCACTAAGAGCTGAAACCACTCACTGCACGTTACTCCAACACTCAGGTGTGTCGCTTTGAGTCTTTGAACATGGATTAGAAAACAATCTCTTTTGTATTCTGAAGTTATTTCTATCAAAAGAAAGAAGTGGAAGTCTGAAATTTGCAGACAGATTTGCAAAAGCTAACTAGCTCTAGTTTAGTGCTTTTTGATATTTACAGCCTAATATTAAGTAAATAATAGACTGTTGCTACTCTGGAGCTGCTGATTTCAGGCTTCCACGGATACCAAATTTAATTTATGCTGTGATAACCTCTATAATCTGCTTGCAGTCACTAACGCAGACACTGAAAACTGATCTGATTTTGAAGAGCTGCAGGTTGCACGTGGCCTTTCTGCTGACCTGTTGATATGTTATCACCTTTTGTTCGTGTGTCTTTCTGGCCGCACTCTTTGGTGGAAGTTTTTTTTGTTGTTGCTCAGTACAACTTTTAGATACAGTTAATATACCAATTACTACCAGTTTCAATATCAATTACATTAAATTCAAAGTATTTTTTTTGTAAGAGTCCATATAGTACGAAAATGGACTTGAGTATGTATGTACATATTTTTCTTATACTGTCCCTCTGTGAAGCATGTTAGCTCGCTCCCTGTCTAAAAAGTTGCTGACCACACTCTACTAACTGGCTTCTTCTTGCCTGACTTCCACAAACAGGAATTTGATTGTTTTTAGCCCCATGTTTTCAACCTAGTGCTTCTGTTTGTGCTTAAAATGACCATGTAAGGACATCCATGCCGAGGTGATGTCATCTCGGGACGAGTAGAAAAAAAACGTAGTCTGAAGCCTGAGCTTTAGCTCATAGAGATTACTTTTACATCCGCTGTCCTCATTTTTTGAAACTTTGCTCGTGTTCTAAATAAGCATGCAGTGTTTTATGTGGGAGCAAATTAGGAAAACCATAAAAGGTGCCCTTAAATAGAATATTTAATATTAAACTTATTATTATTGTTGTTGCAGAAGAATTTGAGGACTTCTTCAAGTGCTGACTGATACTGTTAGAGGAGACTAACACATAATTTCCACCAATCACCATCTGCAATTTAATTAATCAGCTGTTGCTGTTATCTTTTCTGTCCAATAGGGTTAATTAGACAATTAACCACTTACTGCACAAGAGAAGAGTTAAGCATTGCAAAACATGCCTTAAAAATAGCTGACGTAATCTGACTGCAAAACAATCTTGGAGAAACTTCCATCAAGAGAAAAGCGTGGACAACCTGTAGCTCTTTATACTGACTTTGGCTTTGCTGCGTTGAACGTTTTGTTCTGTGCTGCTGCTGATTATTTTTCTTTCTTCCCTCCTTGCTGCGGCCTCCAGGTGGGCTCAGTTGTGGCTGTGGGTTGGATCCGCTCCCAGAAAGCAGTGGACTGGCGCCTCTTCAGGAACATCTTCCTGGCGTGGTTTGTCACGGTGCCTGTGGCCGGCCTGTTCAGCGCCGCCGTCATGGCCCTGTTTGTCTACGGCATCCTGCCCTACGTCTGAGGGCGCAACGCCGGGAGGGAGAGCAGAGGAGGAAAAAGAGAGTCGGGGAGAGAGAGCGAGAGGGGGAAACTTGGGTAGATGTCATATCTCGAATGTGTGGGTTGCTGATAGAAGAGAAGGAAGAGAGTCGATGCACAAGGGTGACGAGGAAGAAGGGAGGATGGTTTACAGGTGGACTTGGTTGTACTGTAGATGTGAGGAGGGTTGGTTCACATGCTGCCTGGCTCCGTAGTCCAGAGATCTTTTTGACTCATTTGAGTTCCCAATCGGTTTTTATTTATTCTCTTTCTTTTTGGTGGGATTGATTAAAAAACAAAAGTGTAACTAGTGTACCATTCAATCTGCTGTACATAAGACAATAACAGGGGACTTACTGGTAACTTCTAACTAAACACGTGACAGTCTCCTTAAAAAACAAAACCACGTAAATATAAAAAATACAGAAATAAAAATGATCAAAAAGCAGTTTATTCTGCTAACATAAGCCAGCAGACTCGCCTGCAGTAAATCCATATCCTTCTGCCTGAAATTCTAGGCAGCACAATCGGTCAAGTGCTTACTTTTTATTATCGTTATCATTGTTCCAAAATGCCAGGGGTGAAAAAAAACGACAAAAAAACAAAACAAAACTGTACATATTGTGATATTGGGTCGAGTGTGATTCGTTGTATTGCGGCTTGCTTTCAAACAAAAGAAAAGATGTGCGCGTGGTCAACCAAACCCATCCGTCATCTCACTTTCAACATGCTAGCCAGGTACAACTGGGGCCAAACGGAACGGACGCCTCAGAGAGGAGCGGTGAGACTGTCACTCTGCTTTTGTTTTTTTATTATTATTATTATTATTTTTCACATGATACCATAGGAACCTAATTTACTAAAGAGTTGATTTTTTTGTTTTTGTCAAGAGCTCCTGTATGTTTTTAGAGATCTCATATTTTTTAATGATGTATTATACTGTAATTTGTACTGTAAATAATGTCCTTTAAGAGTTTGGATGTGGGGGTCTGGGATGGGGGATTGGGGATGCGTGCGTGCGTGTGAGTGTGAATGGTTTCAGAAAAGTGGGTGGGCGGGGGAGGGGGGCCTCTTCACCTCATAATGATGTCAGAATTCACGGTTAGTTTCAACCCCCGCGGCTCATGGGAAACTCCCACCGATGAACACTTGGCAGGTTTTTCTGATGTTGGCAGAAGAATATTGATTAGAACAAAGTGTTTTGCTTTACCAAACCCATCCACAGCAGAGGAAGTGAGAGTTGCCGTTGCATTCACTGTTTTATTGCCTGGGTGAATTGAACAGTATTGACAGAAGGTTCTTTTGTTAACGGCTCCCTCCTCGAGGAGATACGCAGATAGCGAGGGACAGTGAGGTTGCTCTTTAGAGAGCAGAACCATGCCAAAGTAAGTTGTTGTCACCATGTCTGTATGCCAGATAAATGAGGTACAGCAGATGCCAAAACTGATCAGATGTACGAAAAATAAAGCACTGATTAAGTTTAGTAAAAAATGTTTGCATATCATCATCCATATGCCTTTGACTTTGGATAAAGCAGGAGTCACTTCCTTATATCAAAGGCTCCCTGCCCACTGATGAACCTTTACATTTTTTCATATTCAGATCATCTCAGGTGCGAGCACCGCGGTCACCCGAGATTATCCGAGTCCAGGTTTCAAATCTAACAGAGTGAGACATGCAAAAAGCTAAGGCCTTGTGATCTGTCATATCGAATACTTAAATTGTAAAGCGTTATGCAAACGTCGAAAGGAAGAGGACTCAATCCAAGCCACACGAGTAGCTCCTCAAAATGGGCAGGTGTTGTTTGGAGCAGAGAAGCATTTAGTCTCTCAATCACATCTGATTCAGTCTAAGCGCCATGTCATGAGGTGTGTGAATCACAGCCCGGTGAGGGTTTCAAGGCTGCTCATGCCACAAAAATATCACAAGACTTTTGTCTTGGGACTTAAGGTTGTATTCGGAGGTAGAACTGATCATCACCAGCTTTTTAAAACGGTCACCTGACCTGTAGATGAACAAAGTCTTTTTTTTTTTTCTTTTAATTTGAACAAACTCGATGCCAGGTGTCGCAAGTTGTTTTTGTTCTTGTGGTGTGTTTCCTCATCTCTTGGTTTGTTTGTTTGTTTGTTTGTTTGTTTGTTTGTTTGTTTGTTTTCTCTCTCTCATGAACAAATCTATGCTTAAGTAGCCACTTGCCTTGTAACTTTGTGTTTTACTTTGTGCAGAAAAAGTAAACTAATTATGTACTGTGGTGTTTACATCGTAACCATATTGTAGAGTTATCTGAAAAACAAAAAACCCACAAAAAAACAACTGTTGCCTAATGATGCCAATGAAAGACAAACTATTAACCGTGAGTTTTTAAGTGCAAGTAAAAAAAAAAATTAAAAAAATAACCAGAAGTGTCTAGAGAGAAAGAGAGCGAGAGCAAGTGTGTGCGCAGTGACTCGTTTTTCATTTTGTTTCTTGTAGCGGTAGTGCTGATCCTGACCCCCGTCACCTTACACTGCTACTACAATGCATTAACACTACATGTATGGGTGCAATTCAGTAATAAAGAGGATAACTAGAGAAATTTCATCAGAACTATATTTTTCTACCATATCTGAGTTTTAACCGGGATGAGCTTCCGGACACTTTGGAGGACACTCTGTGGGGCTGATGGTAAAATCTGGCCAATTGGGATTAGTTGTTTTAAGACTGTAATCGCAGCAATACTGAGGAATGGTCTTATTTCAGGGTGCCATGTGCCACACTTCCTCTCAGCCCGGTGGGTTCCTCTAACATATAGACTGATGTGTCGGTTGCCAGTAGATCAGATTTTTAAATTACCATTTTTATTTTTGAATTTTTGATGAAAACACTTTGTAATTTTGTTTCCCTACTGCTTTGGCCACGAGCTTCAAGAGCAGCACAGCACCGTGCCAGAAAACCATTGTGTAGGACTGACCTGATGAAGATGAATGCAATGAGTGGTATCTGGAAACTTGATTGTGAGGAAATTTGTTTCCTTGTTTTTTGGCAGGTTAGCGCTGTTGAAGCTCATGGCCTTCTACTTTTCCACAGGCTGTGTGTTGTTCAGGGGGGCTGCACAGAGCCGGTGTGTTCAAATCCTCTTGTGTTTGTTCTCTGATGCCCGGAGGAAGAATATTTAGAAGGAATTTTGTGATGACACAAAACATTTAGCCTCCCCCCCCCACCCAGGAAAATATGCAGCAGAGATCTGAAGCTTTCATGGATGTTTTTTTCCCCTTTGTCTTTAAAGCAAGCCAGTGTTACGGCCAACTTCTAATTGCTAAACAGCTGAGGCGCTCTGGCCTCAAGCAAATGGCACAAAAATGACAAAAACTAGTAAAAGCAGACGGTAGCCTCAAAATTTTTTAAATCTCTCATGCAGTCGTGAGGATAGCATTTTGTGCTATTTTATTTCTTTGGATTCTATTTTATACTATGGCATTTATAACTGCTGAAATAAAAGCAGTTTAAACCTTAAAAATCTATATTCATAATATGAAGTCAGAAGCTGAAGAAAGACTCTTTCATTTGCCAGCTTTCTACTCTGAGACTTGTGGAAGTTTGTTGCTCTGGTGCAAGATTTACTAAACAATATAATGAGCCGGAAAAAACTTTATTTCCTTCATGCATTAGGAGGTTTGTTTGTCAATGGACTGAGGTCAGCCGGTATGCATCGCGTGTTTGATTTGTGCAGTGTCACCATCCTCTGCTGCAGCCCCCCTTTGTAACTCACACTGTCATTTTCTATATTGTTTTCCACGCATTCTCAGTCCTGATAGGCCAAAAGGGATGCACTGCTCAAGATGGGGAGGGAAAGTGAAAATCGCCTTCTGCTGGCAGCTTTAAGTATCTGAGAGAAAGGGCTACATCCTGAGCCGGCAACAGGAAATATATACATATAACGTGGTTCCCTGTAAAATCCGAACACTTTCAAAATTTGATCACAAACGCAAAAAAAGATTGGGCGTAGGGATGACCACGGCCCCTAGAGGGCGCAGTTTGACACGTTCCCTCCCCGTAGAGAGGGACAGCATTTTAGACGGACTGTTTCAACGATTGGTTGAATTGCCATTGAGGGAGCTGCTGTGCTTCTGCCGCATTTCAACTGTTTATCAACCTTTTTGTAGACAAAAAACGAAACAAAAAAAACAGAATGTGCCATTTCTTTCTCCCTGAATGTGCAATACAAGCCGTTTCTCGTGAAGGTGCAACTACATTGCCGTCACTTTAGTGGTCGTGTGTAGCTCCACCTGCCCTGGTGTAATAGCGCCCTCTCCTGTGTGTGTGGGACTAGCACCGCCTCCCAAAGGCGGAGCAGCATCAGCTCAGACTTTCATCTGGATGTGGCGTGCTGTCTCCTAGTTGTCGGGTCTGTTTTGTAATAGAATGTGCTCCTTGGCTGGCCTGCAGGTTTTACAGCTCTGTGATGTCTCTTTACTGTTTACTGCTACTTAACTGTCCGGTCCTTCAGAAATAAGATGCATATATATATGAATACAAATGAATAAATTAAAAAAGAAATAAAAAAAAATCTAAAGAAACTGTAGCCTGCTTCTACAAAATCTTAAAGCTCTTCTGATTTGCATATATCGTACTGTAATGTTTTATTTAAGATTTAGTGAGAAAATGTCTGCATTTAAACTAAATTATGGGAATTAAAATTACAAAGAGTACCTAAAATCCACTGAGTTGTGTCTTACTTTTGTAAAGGTGTGTGGTATGTGTTTGTATGCTGCATAAGGAAAGCTGGGAAAGTGTATAATTAAACACTGAGGCTTTATTGCATAGTAGGCACAAGAGACGGATATTTAAGACAAGTTACCACATTGTTTATTTCACATAGTGTTTATTTATTTTTGGAAAGGAGCCACAGGACTTTTGGGCCCCTATTTCCATTTAGTAGTGTTGGACCACACCCAACCTCTCGATCGTGATTACAGGAATGTAGTTAACATTGTAAAGTTTTGACTGGTTTTAGGTCCAGCGTTATTGAGGCATGCTGATAAAATGTAACCACAGAGACAGAAACACCTGATAAAGTATTCAAAAAACACCTCCGTGGCAGTTCCTGTTGCAGTATAAAACTCACAAGGTAAAAACAATAACACCCCACCCCTTATTTAGCTTATTTAAGTCAATAAAGAGACAAAAAAAACAAACAACTTTTGATATACAGTCCGAGTGTTTGTTTGTTTGTTTTTTAATCCAGTCCAATCTCTGGTATTATGAACCCAACAACGGCAACTTGCTTTATACAGTGTGTAGTTTCCACTGCATCTAATATGAACTTCTGCTCATGCTGCGTCTCTTCTCATTTCCCCCCCACTTTGCATGCATTTGGTTTCCTGCAGCAACCGACCTCTTTAAAGACCAAATGAATCTGCCAGATCTTTTCAGGCTGCTCTTATTTAGGGTTTTGAGCTGAAATAATAATTCACTGACTTGGCTCAGATTGCACTTTAAGTTCTCAGCAGCATTGCTGTCTGAGCTGGGTTTCATTTAATACATCTCTACAGTAACGGTGAAAAATGCTGGTTTGATGCTGGCACACAGCAAGTGACACCATTTGCGTTCAGAGGGATAATGGTTTCCATTTCACATCGGTTAAATCAGTAACCAACAAGAAATGGAAACCATAACCTCTCTGCAGTGTTTCAGTAACACACAGCCTGCGTGCTTTGTGAATGGTATTTGTCCACTTATGTGTGGTTCTCGTCCTCATCTTAATTGACAACAGACAACCCTTCAGCTGAGATGAAATGTGGCTCCTGCACTGCAGTAAAAATCTCATCAGGGTTCAGGGTGGAGGTTCACTTCATTTTAAGCCCCTGACCTCCTCCTTTGTCTGCAACCACCGGTTTGCATGCTTAACTTCAAACACCAAGTCTAATTTGTTTGTAGTATGTTGCAGATGTGTCTTTCTGTGAATCAATTTTCTATAAAGACCTTGTTTTCAAGTTGTTCTTGAAACGCGGTATGTCTCCAGATGACGATGATGAAAGTATTTCACAGTAGTGTGTGTACCTTGCAGCCTTTTCAGTAAAGCTGTAAAAAAATTAGCCTTAATTTTCAACTACATGATTCTTAAAAAGTCCCAGTCCTGCCATTGCCATCGATTGGAATTTGTAGATGCTAAAATTGTCCACTGTTCCATTCTGCAGCAGTGACGTCATTATATTTAGAAACAAAGGTTAAGAATGACACCTATGTGCTTTAAAAACCAAGACGTGTTTATTTTGTGTGTTATTCCAGACATATTGTCCACTGTTCCATTGATGTTTGAGATTCTTTGGCCCTAGATGGTCTGCTCACATGACACATGGCAGACAGGCCGGAGATATGGCTATTTTTATTCTATATTGGTATTCATGTGCCGTTCGTGTTCAGATTTGCATAAGTTCACAGTGAAGCATAACAGATATTCGTCTGGATTTGTGCGTGTTCATGTGAGGAGGAAAGTGCAGCTGCCATAATGTGAGCAAAAAAAAACACTGGAGTATTTGTGCCTTTAATAGTTAATGTGTTGTTTTTTTTCCTAACTGTGCACAGAAAAACTGTGGAAATTTTCCACAGGTAAGTTTCCACTACATTTTAATGACCCAAGTTAGTCCAGTGGTTGTCAAGGAAATCAACTTTTACAAAGATCATTTTTGTAAATTTGAGATTATCATGCTGTTTATTTCTCCCAAACTTAATTTAACTGTGAAACTACAAGAACAGCCGAGCTGGCCTGCAAGTCAAAAACCAGGGCATAAAACCAAAAGTTCATTAGCGCCACTATAATCTCAAGGATAACGAAGAGACTCATACCCTTGTTCTCATTTCTGTCAGAGAGAGCTCAGTAATAAAAGCCATTCCACACTGACAGATGTGCCTCACTCTTTGTGAGTTACACAATGTCAGAACTCAAGGTGAAATCTTTTTGTTATTGTTATTAAAAAAATAACCCACACTCAGTTTAGTCCAGTGTGTCAATCTGCTGCTGTGAATGAGGACAGGAGAAGACCAACTGAGAATGCCTTGACCTGTAAGATAGGCGTTTATTCTTTTTCTTGTAACCATGTTCTGTACATGCTCGCCAAGAAGTTAGCAACTGAGAAAAAAGAAAGTAAAAAAACCAAACAAACAAACCAGAGAGCAGGATTGAGTTAGTTCATTTCCATCCAAAAGCATTTTTTATTGTCCTCCAAACTGAAAGGTTTACCCTGTGATTTGGCTTCTTTGGTAAGCCAAAAAACATACATTGCATTTCCTCAGGTAGCAGTGGAGGCATACAAAGATCGTTTTGAGTGAGAGAAATTAATGGAAAGAGCAATACAGGATTCTCTCCTTCAAGTCACATGATGAGTAATCTTTGCATTCATGAGTAATGGAGAGAAGATTAATCTCAGATCACTGGAAGCTTGAGAAAGTAGCATCTGATCTTCATTTAAGAGAGAAAGGAGGGCGAAGATTTAAAAAAACAAAAAAAAAAACAAAAAACAACCACATGAAGAACAGGGTCGCGTTTCTTCCATGTTAGAAAAGGCCTGAAAACGGTCACACTGCTGAGATAGTTTCATCTCTGGTTGCCTCCAAGTTGTGTATCGCTTTTATGTAGAGCATCTGTAGTGTACACAAATGGACACTGGATATGCAATTCAAAACCAAAGTGCCCACAGTTGATAGAAAGCAAGGTCACATGACCCAAAACAGGTAATGTCACACAAAGGGGAGGGAGGAGGGTGAGATTGGACTTGAAGGTAACCAAACGCCGTCATCAGTCTGTGTTCGTGTGTGTGTCTAGTGTGTGCGGTGAAGTGCCGGCGATGCGGCACTCAGCACCATTAATGTACAGTTACTCAGGTGTACGAACAAAAAGAGAAAGACCTCCCCGTCTAGTGACTGTGCAGTTAAAAATGGGCACATGGTGATTTAAGCTCATGCTTAAGTTGTGGTAAACCATCCAAGCACTTCTTTAATTTATAACTATAAATACACAGCAGCGTTTTTACCAGAGAGGCTTCTGTCTGCTCCTCTCTCTTGGTGAGTGGAGTGTGTGACAAGTTTCTCTTAAAATGGCTAACTACGCTTTACTCATCTGCTAAAGGAAACACGGGTTATGTGGATTTGATTATCAACTTTCATATAGATTTTTCTATAATATATTTATATAGTTATTTTTCCTTTCTCTCACGCAGCCACCACTCTTGCTTTCACATTCTCTCGTCTCACTACTTTTATTCAATGGACAACATAAAACATGGGGTGGGAGTGGGGAGCAACAGAGCTGAAATGACATGATCACTGACAGATGATCACTGAGAGGAAAAAAAAAAAAAAAAAAAAAAAAAGCCAAGAAGAACTGCAGTCTTTTTGTCATCCATTGGCAGTTGGACTGACGCCGCAGTCAGCCAGTTACAATGGTGGTTTTGAGGGGAGGGAAGGGCCATGTCATCAAAGAGGCGGCGGAGGAGGCTCTTTCTTCGTTGGTGCCGTTTTAGTTGTCGTCTTCGTCGTCTTGGTAGCTGGGGTCGTCTCCTTCAGGTTGAGGTTCTCCAGCGCCACGTCTAAGGTCATGACCTCAACACAACCCATGGCCTCGAAGTCAGCGAAATTCCGCAACGAACCGTGACAGTCATCCTCGTCCTCGGAGGAGGAGGCTGAGGCGTCCTCGTCTGGTAACAGTGTGGACAGCAGCAGCTCCGTCACGAACAGGCTCCTGTCGGCCCACTGGGCCTCGCACGCCTGGCGCTCTGCCTCAGACAGCCGTGGTTCGTTCAGCCTGCACAGAGAGAGACAGAAGGAGTGATGAGAATAAGAAATTTATTTGTAACATAAAAATCCTGTAACTACTTATTCCGCACTGAAAAGTCCAAAACCTTTATTAAAACGTCTACTACTGGACACAAGATTTAGAGGTTTTTAAATTTCCACAAAGGGGCCAAACGTAATGCTTGCAGAGAACTGCCTTAAACTAAGATTTAAAAGAGTTTCTGATCACATGTTAAGCTGTGAACCAATGAGTGGATCACACATACATACTCAAACGAGCATGCACGTGGTTGTTGCTAATTTTTTCCACTCAATTTCCAAGTTCTCTGCACAGAAAGAATTTCTAAACACAGGTAATAAGCAAAATACATTAAAAAAAGAAAAACAAAAGAGACTTGAAAATAAAAACATTTAAAACTGGCACACCTGCTGAGTAGAAACTGGGAGCTATGTGCAGTATGCTGTGTGTTGGGCTCGGGTGGGCCCGGGTTAGGGCTTGGGTTGGTATTATGGTTGGCGCTTGGGTTGGGGTTTGCAGTGGCTGAATTGGTATTTAGAATAGCATTGGCTCGGCCGCCACCTCTGGTGGCATTTCGGGCAGTCTCCAGCTGTTGACGTGCTGCCTGGGCCTGCTGGCGTTCCAGCTGGAGTTGCATCTGAAGCTGCTGGAGCTGGGAGGCAGACGGGCCCGAGCTGAGCTGACCTCCTGCTGAACGCCGTACCCCCGACAACTGAGACAGAAGCTCTGGAGGAACAGAAAACAACAGTGGTCAGTGTAAAGCATTAAAGCTGATCATACTAACTACAGATGATAGCTCAATAATACATTTCTTTAAAAGATAGCAATATTTTATTATTTTCAAAATAATATATCAAGTCGGTCAAGCGTTTTATCCCTCAAAATATGCACTGATTAGTTATACTGTCACCAGCACACCAAATCAAAAGACAAATGTGATTTTCAGGGCTAAAACTCGATGAGCTGGATCAAGGGCTCAGCAGGTATAGTGGGTCATTAGAGAGGCGGCTGGTACCCGTGTGTGAGGCAGACTGAACAGGGTCCCTCATTATGGCACAGCTGGAGCTGACATGGCGAATGCCAAGCACTGAACCAGATTCAAATTGGGAACAGGATAATCAAGGAATTGCTACAGCAACAACTCTACCCACACATTTCTTTACCATCTACACAACACTTAAGTACATGCAGACACAAGTAGCAATGGTTTGTAATACCCAAGCTACAGCAGTTAGCTTACCCTTTTTTGTGAGGAGGAAAATATACTAAATAAAACCTAATAAACATGCTACACCTGATTTAGTGTTGAGCGCACTTTTTCTTTCCCTGTCAGACCTATATGATAATGCATATAACAATAAAGATAAATTAATCCTTTAGTGTCTTACTGTAATAATTTGTTGTCTGACTTGCACCTGGCTCTACAGCTTCTTGCTCTACAATTATGTGCCCCACAGGAAGCCTGTAATAACAGGTGCTTTGGGACTGGGGACTAAGGGAAAACTACACACTGGGGAGCAGCATTTGAACCTTGGTGAGGTGACATTACTGGTTGGTGGGTTCAGACTATTTAAAAACTGCATCAAATGTACTAAAGTTAAGCTCAAAGCCTGGATTTCCAAGGGTTTTCGTAAAGTTAAAACCCATCGTTCACAGACCTACCAGGATATTTTCCCCGTTTTTTTTTTTTAAATAACACTTTCTGGTGCGGCATTTACATTTCAAGTCAGCGCAACATACGTCACTCATTGTTTACTGTCGTGCTGGGAGATTACCTATCAAGGAAGAGGAACTAAAAATTACCCTGAAATGGCTTGGGTACTTTATTGAACCGTTCTTGCATACACTCATACTGAAGAAATCATCAGGCACTTCCTGAATCCAGTAAAAAATAAAAATAAAAATATGTGTGACTAACCTGCTATGGGGTCCATGGCCTCTCTGCTGTAGTTGGAGCTCTGTGATGAACTCTGACTGGTGGAAAGCCCCCCTGTGGTGCTGCTGGTGAAATGCATGTTAGACCTGCGGGCTCGCGGGCCCCCTAACCCGCGCCCGGGGTGAAACATCCTCCTCACATGCCGCACGCCACTGGACTCATCGTGATGCTTGCCGTCAAGGAACAAAACAAGAGCATAATATTGCTACAACTAAAAGTCAAAAATTAATGAATAATAAAAAAAAAAGTACAATTAAAAATAATCCATAAACCTCAAAATGTGCCTGATTGTGAATAACAGATATTTCTTGCTTATAAAATTGCTTTTTAAAAAACGAACAGTTAATGAGCGAGATGTAGCTCAAAACTATCGCTGCCACGCCTCTAAATGCTTCCCAGGACTTTTAATGAGCCATCTGCAATCAATACCTGCATAAAGCTCTCATGTCAACATGAACACACAAGACAATGAACTTTGCTGACTCGCAATCAAAAGCTATGGCTCTGTCAGTGAAGCTGTCAAAGGACTTGTTTGAGCTACGTTTCATTCAACTATATTTTTGCATTTGTGGTTTTCTTCACTGCACCCATTCAAAGTACGCTATAAATAGGCAGCCAGACTGCTGTTGTCAGTCCGAGTCTATTCACGAGTGTGCTTTTCAGCTGATTTCTGACAGGCTAAGTAGAAAATCACATTTTAGCCATTTAGAAAATTAGCTCAATTTAATGAATGTCCCTTTTTTGGGAGGAGGTGAAGCTTCTTTAACCTTTGCACAAGTGGTCATTTACTCATTTAAGTTACAATGTGTCTGCATTTTTATCCTAAAAAGAATGAAGGAGATAAGCATGCATGTCTGGAATCTAATTAGTTAAAACGCCTTGACAGAGCCTTGGGTTTATGCAAAGTTTAATAGCAATCAAGTAACGGATCAGATAAGAGCACTCCTAAGACTACTTAATTTTTTTTTTGAGTAGAGAAATTTCCCAGATAATGCTTAAGTGAATGAAATACTCAGGTCTTATTTCCTGCACCGATTTCTGAACCACTAACATGTTACTGCCTTCTGCAGTTATATCATCAACAAAAATCTAAATCAGGTGATAAAACAATGCAAATCAGTGTTTCCATTGTACATTTTTTTCCTCTTTCATAAAACAAGTCTACTGTAATGTTTCTGTCCATCAGCACTTTTTTCTTCATCTCTTTTCTGGCATCTTACAGAGCCAAGAGTAGAAAAAAAAACTGCAGCTTTTGGCTCCATGGATTTATATATAATGAGAAATAATAAAAGTAACCAGTAGAGGGAAAACAGTACAGTATTTACAATATCAGTATCAATAAGGATCCAGATTGTATTGATAAATCCTGAGCAAATATCAATGACAATGCCACTAGGCATCAAAATCAGTGGAAACCCCTATGACAACCTGAAACAGCCAAATAACAAAAAAGAAGGGAAAAAAGCTGAAAACACAAGTGCCACTGATCTGTTTTAGCCACATTTCCTCATGCTATTAATTTACCACTTAATCATGTGTTCATATTTTTGCTTTTGAGGCATGATAATTAGTCCATGTGCCTTCACTGTCGTGCATTGTCTATGCACCAGATCACTAGCAAACTGCTAAAGATTTTATTAACATAAATAAAATGTTAATGTTAAAATGGCTTGTCATGCAGAGTAGGCTTTAATACTGTAAGCAAAATATCAACAAATGTCAGTTCCAGTGAACAGATGCCTCCTTGTTGCAATGATCTTTAAATAGACAAGGCTAGTTCAATGACATGAAACTCAGAATTTCTTTCACAAAGCATAAAATGCAGCTAATGTCACTTCATATCTGCAGAGATGGTACTTAAAGTACTTGAAAAGGATATCAAGTCTCTGGGTGCTCTGTGTTCAAGTGTTAGATGAGCAGCAAAGTCATCTGTCACATGATTTGGGTCACCACCAGGAAGTGCTGCACATATGGGGCAGATCTAAATGACAGAAAAACAGAGTGTGCACATTAGTTTTCACAACACACACACACTTCACCTCACACTCAACATTCACCACGAGGTATTAAATCCTCTTAAACAAACACTGTGCTTAAACACGAAGAAATGTAATATCAGTAAAGTGAAACCTGCATGTGAAAGGAATATATCCAACAGAAATTAATAGAAAAAGGCACAGACTGCCATCAAAACATCAGAATGCTGCACAGCACTGGCTGTAACAATGACATTAATAAAAACATCAATATTTTAATACCTTGTAAACTCTGACTACTATTTCAATGCCAATTTTCTGCAGTAGTGACAGACTGATACCTGCTGTGCTTTCTCACGCTGTCATCTGACAGGAACTGACACCTGAGACTTTATAATGAGAGATATCTATGGGAGAGTTTCATGACAGAAAGAATGGCAGCTAATCGTTCACAGTTCCATCTTCCTCACTTGTTAAGTGATATTTATCTTTAAAATTTATCTATAAAAATCTGTTTATTCAATGCTGTCATTTTTTCCCCAGGGAAATGTTTTTCACAATTTTTTCTAATGTAATCACATTAGAAATTTCCACAATGTGATAAATTTTTGTTTGTACATTTAAAAAGGAAGAAAATTCAAATTATCCAAGCTAAGCTGCAGTGTTGATTTAACCAGAGCAGGTAGGCAATTCCTCATATATTCAAAGAACAAGGATTTTGTGTCACTTGCAAACATAAGGAGACATTAACAGTGTTTTTACACAATGGCTGTCAGCACCTGTGGGGAAGACATACTGTTAAATTTCATTCATTTTCGAATAAAAACTTATTGAGAACACCTTTAGCTACATATGTTCTTGGCCTTATATGGTATCTAAGGGGACTGTATGACTTTTAACAATTAATATACTAACTTTCATCTGGTGTTCCTGGACAGATTGTGCCTCCCCGGTACTTTCTCAGTCTCCCTGTCTGCTCGTGCGCCTTTCTCACAAATTGCACACATAGAAAACTAGTTCTCCCCTTATTAGAATGAGAAAACAAATATAAAGCCATAACTGAAAAATCATTTTAAGTCAACAGCTTGGAAAGCTCACGTGCAGTCTCAGCTGTATAAGCCAGTGGTGGTGGTGTTTTTGTTGACTGTACAAAAAGAATAAGCTATAAATAGAGCTGCAAAGTCTGCCATGACTTGCAATTTGATTCTTATTTCAGACTCAGAAACTGACTCAAGGACTTTCAACAATAATACTGTGAACCAAGACAATAAATATGACATAAATGCATGCTGACAAACCCAACAAGATCCTGCAATGTGAGGCCCACTCAGACACTCATTCAGTTTGCTTAGTTAAGATAATATTGAAGGAAATGCAGCTGTTAATATCTGCACAAACATCAAGTTTAATTTCATGGAGCACCAACTTACCACTTCTGTGGAGGTCTCTGTATGCTCTGCAGCCACATGCTCCTGCAGGGACATCTCTGTGTAGCCCATTCTGCCACAGTAGGGACATGTGAAGGCTTGGGGCTGCTCCACCGAGAAGGCTTCTCCACCATAGTACAAGTCTGGGAGGGAATAAACACCCACATTTCATGTAGTGTCAGTTATGTAGCAACATTTAAATGCAAGAGTTTAAGTTAAAGCTACAAGTATGCTATAAAATGTAAACACAATTAAAGATACTCTGTTAACTACAGTATTTTTACCCTTTACATAAACCAGGAAACATAAATAAACCCATGCACATGAAACCATCAGCAAGTAGGCCATCTACAGACATAGTCACAAACTACAACAGTCCATTTAAAAAGAACATTTAGCTCCTAATGAGAGATCTACTCAGCACTCCATTAGTTGTTTAAAAAAACAAAACAACAACAAAACCCACCAACAACAACAGAAAAAACACATACAACAACATTAGCATTAACTTTGGGGTTATGTTTGAGTTAAATATAAGTGCAAATTTCACTTTTCCTACTTTCATAGTTAACACTCGCAAATAACAAACCCCCTCCCCCCTCAAAATGGTGTTTATTACAGTTAATATTCATTAATCTATAAACCTTGATTAATATTGGTTAATGTCAACTGTTTAACACAACTAATCATAAACTTAAAGATCCGATATTTATTGAATTAAAAAATTTAAAGATGTGTTCCTTGCCACGAGTCTTCAGGGATAATCAATGAAAAGCAATGAAAACATGCATTTATAGATGCATGCTCATCTATATTCATTCTACAGTCCATAATACCATCTTTTTTTAAATCAACACTTGTGTTGTCCAGCAACACCACTGCTACTTCAAATTCTTCCTTAATGTGAGCATAGGTTAAATAATAAAAATAAATAAAAAAGGTACTTCTGAGCTGCTTTAGGCAGTTTGATTTGCAGGTAAACTCAAAAACTGAGTGGAAGAAAAACCATCACTGGGCTGAATTGGGCAGCAGCACGTTAAACAAATTGGCTGAAGGTGTTAATATGCGTGTGGTAGCCTGTCTCTGTGTTAGCCCTGTGTTAGACTGGCAATAATGCAAATATTTGAATTATTATTTGAATGCAAATAAGTCATCGCTTTTTCTTGATTATGGAAGCTTTTTTTTTCCTTTTTTAAATTTGGTCTTTACAAACATCTGTGGGGAAAAACAAAACAAAACACCATCTTGATTTGACTCTAGACCTGGTGTGAAAGTTTCAGCTCTGAAAAAAAGAAAAAGAAACTGAGCACAACGCTAAAACTATACCAGAAAATTTTAATGTTCACATACCCTGAATAGTTCTATAGAGGTGCTGAGAAAAGCTGCTGATACGGATCATTTCACAGAGACCAATTTATAGCACACCTTTTCTTTCACATCGCTTTTTTTTTTAAAGAGAAAGAAATCACCTATTACTAGCTACATGTATGACAACAACTCATGGCAGGGGTCTCATTTCCCCAAATAATCAAAAGAATTCTAATCATCAATTATTTTTTTTTTAGACATAGCTCAGTTGGTGGAAAACCAGCAGGCTCACTGAAAATGCTTGCAAAAAGTCAATAAAATATCACTGCCAAAAAAAAGAAAACCTCTTATTAAGCTTGCACCTTCTGTTGTGTTTTCAGCAACAGTTGCTGTTTGTATTTGTTTTTTCACCAGGCTGAAAAAGAGCATCTTCAATGTGTGAAAAGCTGAACGGTAACATATTTCACAACATCAAGACAAGAAGTAATAACAGAAGCAGTCGTCCAAAAGGAAGACAAATGGCCCATTTAATCGAAAGAAATTTGGATTGTACCACGCTTACCCGAATGCTTAATTAAAGAATTAAGAATGTTAAAAGATTTGGAGAAGTTTAATCCGTACTGCTGCCAATATAAAATATTCCAGTTATGCAGTGATAAATCAAACCCAGAAGGCCAACAACACACTCCCAAAAACTCCTCAGGCTGAGTCAAATCCATCACTGTTAAGCCATTTGGGAGCAGCCTTCCCATCTGAAAACAAAAGCCAGTGCCAGGAAAAGATAACATACGACATTGCACTTTTGCAATCTTATAAAATCTAGTGAAGGGAGGTTTATAAAATAAAATAAAAAACCAAAAAAAAAAAAAAAACACTGCCAGTATTACCGCTCTGCCCTAACTGGCAGTCGTGACCATCCCAAGACAATTCAGTTCTTTAGCATTTGTCACATTTTAAAGGAAAAAAAAATACCACTGCACCAAATTTGAAAACAGCTCATAATTTCTCCATCTTTTGTCACCCCCCTCCCCTTCCCTTCCCTCATACACCTGGCCCATACCTGGACTATCACTCAACACACCATATGAGCACACATCATCCCTCTTTAACAGCTGATAAATTCATGTTTGATTGCTTGACAGTTTACAGTCCCTCAGTTGACTCGACAGTCAAATACAACAGGCAATTACCCTCTATGAGAACTGGCTTACAGGCACTGTGTCTGTAATTTGAGGCTCAGTATTTCAACTAATGGAGAAATGTTCATAAATTCAACTACACTCCATTCTCATTCCTGGTTTTTAGCTGACTGTCTGTTGACATGGATGACATGCATATCATCTTTACTTACCAAAGTCAACGCGGGTTAATATACACTGCATGGGATGCTCTGTCGTGTGTCTGGTTGTAGTTGCACCGCTCTCGTAGCACGATGCGCAAAGATCATAGTCGTAGCAAATTAAACATTTGTAACGTCGTCCTCTGAAGTTACCCTTTAAACATGCATCACAGCTCACACCTGAGTGAAGACAGGAGAACAGAAGAGAGAAAAGTTAGAAGATGTGACAGTTAATCAACTTTAATTAATTTTCAAAATCAAGTAATTGAAAACTTCATCTTTTGAGGATTGCCAGATTTATTACTGGATACAATTTATCACAGTTTCTCTGATACCATTAGGTTCACTGGATTACAACTGATATTTTTTTCCTTGTATGTCCACTTCAGTTAAACTGCAGTGAATAATATTCAAAACATACCTACATTGGAAATTTACAGAAACATTACCACTACATATTGTCTGGTTGGAAGATTTTAAAGTAATGGATATTCAGTTGATTTTTCAGTCCTGAGCCAGAATATCGCAGATCGCTGCAGAATTCCTGCCTCAACATTAAAACTAACACAATCGAGATAATTCAATTTTCATTAAGATAATTTATAATAAATATTAAGTGCACAGACAGCACTGTTTAGTCTGAACTGGGGCTTTGAGAGAAGTCGGCTCTTGTGGTAACATACTGGATTGCATTACTTTCTTGTGCATTCGTTTTGTTGTAGTTGGCTAAGCGTTTTGTTCAATATTTGCTTGTGTTGTGGTGGGCATAGGTGACTTGGAGTAGATTTTTGGCTATGTTCCTTACAAGTGTTTATTTATTGCACAATTTATAAATAAAGTGTTACTGTGTTACACTTAGTCCAAGTCCCATCAACGTTTAAGTAAAAACTACATTCACAACAGTGAATTACCAATTACCACTGTCTTCATTTCAGTACCTACGTACATGTAATGCGCCATGTGAGATGGACTGTGGTCAAGTCCGGGCACTTTTTGATTGACTACGACAGTCGTACAGACACAGTGTACGCATGGCATGACACTGGTTTGTGTAACCCCCCTAATATCTCCATTCATAACTATGAAGCTGTAAAAAGGTATATAAACGAGTGTGATAACGGTAACCCCTTCATGATATAACTCAGGCACAAACACCTTGACTGACAGCAAAGTTAAAAACAACAACAACAACACAGGCATGGCATGTAAAGGCCGCCCGGCCTAACCTTCGCAACCGGCTAACAATTTAACAACTTAACTCTTAGCTCACAGGCAAGTCATCAATGGTAGACTTTACCCAAGTCAATTTTTTGCCGGTTTGTGATCAGAAACGTCTTCTAACAACACTGCAAGACATCTACTCAACACTAATAACTAACAAGGTTGGCCACAAGGACGACGTGAATGTTAGTTTGCTAAATGTTAGCTTGCGAAACTTGATTCAGCAGGCCAGCAATGACCAGGAAGGAGGCTGAAACTAGCTAACGTTTACGACATACAAGTTTCAAACCCATAACGCCATCTGGGTCGCGTTCTACGCTTCTGTTTCCTATTCTCGACACTCCCCTCGCTCCCCGGCTCGTTAAGGTTAACCTACATTACCCATCTCCCAGGCTAGCTAGCACACTTAGCTAAAGATACGGAGCTCCTTCCGCTTATATGTCAGCGTTGTTTTGGTCAGTTAAAACAGAGTAGTGCATATGTTCTGAAGAGAGAAGACCAACTCCAAGAGTCCGTTATGATTAGACACCAATTCTCCCGGCAGCCATAATGTGCCCCCACGAAATTTCACTGCAACCTCGCTGCTAACACTAGCCTACGTTAGCTAGGATGAGCTGCAAACTAAGGAATTCTCGGCTAGCTAACATTAGCTAGCGGTGAGCTGTCATCGTTTTTAATCGCAAATCCCGTCTCTGCTTCCACCTCCGTGCTAAAGCACCTTCTTACCTTCATGACGGGACATCCTAGCGCAGCCCCTTGCTCGGGCACCTTCGCCTTGCAATGCAAAATAATATGAGTGAAGAGAAGAGAAGCCGGGGCTGGCTGGCTCTCCCTGGCCTCTTCCCTCATGAAGGATCCGGTCTGGCTCGCTGCCCCCTCCCTCTCCTTCTCCCTCCGCCTCCTGCTGTGTCACTGTCCAGTGCATTGTCACTCCATGCACACGGTGGCGCTGTTGTTCCATTTAATTTTTTTTTACCACAAATGCTGCTTTGGGTCGCTTGTGGATGAACTATAGTGACCTTAGTTCTCACTTTTTTAATTTACCGTGAATTTCAGCATTGAAAATTCTCACAAGTGTTTTTTAAATCATTAAACAGGAGGTGCAACTGGAGTTGGAACAGTTGAAGATAATGAGATTTTCATTGTGTGACCAGGAAGGACGGGATTAAAGTGAGGAAGAGCTCCGGTTGAGCAGGTTCATGAATGTAGTAAAGGACAACATTGAGCGGGTTGGTGTGACAGATGACTGGGTGTTAGGGATAGTTTGAGATGGATGCAGATGAGGTGTCGTGACCTCTAATTATTGCTCATTCCAGTTCTACCCACTTTATTTAATTTTTAGCATCATCAAATAGCCACAGCATTAGAATAACTGACAGATTAGGTGAATTTTCATCATTGCCTTACAATGAAATGTTATGCTGGGTCAGGATATCAGGTGGAATAATCTGCTCCCACCAAACCAGATCCAAATCTCAAAGGGTCCACTTCCAACGCCCCCAGATCATACATCCCTGTCCTGGTGCCAAAGCTTGTTTGGTGGGTGCCCATACAATATTAGTTGGGAGGCTTGATTTGATCATGTCAGCTACTGTCAGATGCTCCCTTATTCACAAATGGTCACCACAGCGGGTTGCTCAGCATGATGATTTGGCAGACGTTTATACACCAGGTGTTGTTCCTGATGCAACTCTAAAGGGATCTACTCCCCAGACCAAACCAAGGATGACCACACATAACGTCAAAAGGTATTTAATCTTGGAAGTTTGTTATTTAGGCATTTATTTTTATTCAACACACCAAGACTGAGACATCTAAAAGCTTTGTGTGTGAGTTCTGCTGAGAAGCTGCTGCTGCCAGGATGTCATCTCAGTGGTCTGCCAACACTGCAAGCTTTGTTCTAACTTCATGGCTCAAAATTGAAGTTTTTGACAGTAATTTAAGGAAGGAGTAACGGCTGCACTAGATGAAGATGTTTAAATTATACTGGAGAACTGCTGATTATTTTTGTATTTCACAGTGCCTCATTGTTGCTTCTTGCCAGGCAGACCTTGTAGAGCGAAATCAAGACAGGTCAGCAAAGTGCAGAATCAAACTGGCTCACACATTTGGCAGCTTGCTGAGGTATGTGGATGGAAAGAATAACTTTAATTGTGCATGCAAAGCTATTTTAAATTTGACGCAAATGTCCAACATCAGCTTGATTCTGGGAAGTCCACAAGCTTTTCTTTTCTTTTCTTTTTTTTAATTTTTAATAAGAAGCAGAAAAAAATAAGTTTATCTGGTAAAACATATGTTGACCTCTAAACTACAATCTTTCTAATATTATTATTTCCACAGCATACAGAGAAATGTTTAGTTTTAGACCTCAAACACCTTGGGGAACTCTATAATACCCCATGAAATTGTATCTCATATTTACTTATTTGCCAGAGGTGAAAGAACACAGGGCAATGCTCTACTACTGGAAAGTTTCCAAACATGCACAGACGTCACAGAGGTAATCATCTGACCCACGCCTTTTTTTCCACATAGATCTCACACAGCACAGTGTGATACCTATATTAGCACAGTATATGGGCTTGGAAAGTAAATAAATACTTTGCAGATCTGCATATCTATGTCTCCAGTCTTACCAAACAACTTAACAACATAATTCCAGCCAGACGCATCACATGCACCTGAAGTCCACCAATCATATTATATCTATTCACATCCAGCGTTGCTGACTCCCCATTCCCAAACGCATCCAATACAAGATTCTGCTCCTAAACTTCAGACCATTTTGGCTTTGTCTTTTTAACTTTGTCATCAAAGCGCTCAACTTAAGCTATAGCCCTCAGATATAATCATTTCTGATCCTGTACATTCTGGTCATTTTCAGGTGAAATCTTAGCATCTTCAGCTTTGCCACCTCCAGGTTTACTCCTCAATTTACGACTCACAAAGACAGTGAATTTTTTTTGTTATAAGGCATAGTGCCCTACTGAAATCAAAACATACACTTTCCTATACATTTTTATATAAATGGGTGTTAAAAATACGAAAAGTTACTTTGGACTGCCCTTTGTCACACAGTCCTCCATTCAAGAATACATTTTAGTGTGTCTTCTGATTTTTTTCAAAATTGTAAAAAAATTTTTTAAAAAGGACATAATTTCTTGGTCAATTTGTGCAGTGAAGCACTATGAAGGATATGGGTTATTGGCATTTCCATCACTGCTTGTTTCAGTGCACTGATGGCTCATTGTTAGTTTTTCATTAACGTAAAGCTGTACTGTGTGTACCCTCATTTGATTGCACGATGTGATAGATTACACACGCAGTGACATCTTAGACAGACAGACAGACAGACAGGATCTGTGTAGTTATAGTGCCTTAAGGTAGTGAAAAAAGCAAAATAAAACATAAGAAATTGCGCTGTAACTATTTGCAGAGATGCGTAAAAACTTTTTTAGATGTCAGGTATCAGGCGCTGTTGGGGTAGCAGATGACACTTCCAGCTGGTGATGTGTGCACACAAAAAACAGTGGTGTCACTTTAACAGGGACCTTTGCGTGAGTGCACCCATTCTTCGTCTCATCAACTGAAACTGGTTTGCGAGCTAAGCTGATGATTTGGCAGCATGCCAGGCAGGGGGAGAGAGACCCCTTCCTTCTCCATACAACCAGCAGTCTTTTAAATATTCCTATAAGAGCTCCCATTGGATATTCTTTGTATGACTGGATTTTTTTTAATGTTGGTATTGTAAAAACGCCGTCTCGTTTCAGTGCGTCTTTCAGCGTTCAACTGTTTTTTGGTTTTTGTTTGCTTGTTTCTTTTTTGAGAAGTAGCGCCTCCTGGATTCCTGGAACATTTCTATTTGAAGTGCTCTCTGGATGAGCAAAACATAAAAAATAATTTAAAAAAGAAAGAAAGCGTATTTTCGCATTCTCTTTGGGTGTCTTGGAGTTTTCTTGAATTTTTGTCTGCATATTCCTTTCGCGTCTTTTGTCATATGTTGCCTATTTTTACCCTCATCTGTCCGGTAAGAAAACAAAGACGGGAATTGTATGATCTTCAGACCAATACAAAACAATTAATTGCGTCTGACGCCTATACACCCTTTAAGGGTTAAAGTGAGATAGGCTACTACGATTCATTCAACCTTTCCACGCCCTCAACGTAAACAAATGGGGGCTTGACCAATAAGATCCGCCATAGATCAGCCGATGATCAGATGACCGAAAGGAGAAACTATTTAAAACTGTAATGACACGCTTCCTTCACAGCTTACACATTTCTGGAGCCGGTTCTTAACAGGCGCACACGAAAACGCATCACCGGCTCTTTTGTTACCACTGAATTTCAATCGCTCACCAGCGCACCTCGTTGCCGGCAGTACTACCAAAAAACATTTTATATCCTAAGAAAGCTTTCATTTCGTCCACACTCATCTGTGGCTGAGAAATGAATCATAAAAGCGTTTTAATCAGGATTTTCCTACTATGTGCTTATCCGCTTTTTTCATCAGCAACTGAGGAAAACGCCGTTCTTAAAGGTAAGAAATTGCTTTTTTTGTCTATTTATTCGCTAATTGCTCTCTAAAATAAAGGGAGAGGGTGAAAACCTCACGTCTAGCATACAGCGGGGTATACATCATACGCCTGAGAAAATCCTAAAATTCTCCCACGTCCCGCTTGATTAATGCGCGTCATTTTTAGACTAAATTACACATTTAAACAAGTGTGGCGGGCAGAGCAAAGCAGAAAAACTGGAATGGATTTAAAGGACACGAGGGCGACGTGTCCTTTTCGGAAGGAGTCTTCAAGTAGAGCCAGGACACAACGCCACGTCTGTGCGCTGCCCTTGGAAGGATGTCCTGCTGGATCCGCGTTTTACTGCAGACTTCACGAGATCGTTTTTATTACCCAGCTCAGCTGAAATCATTTTGGTCTGTGTGGCCCATTGGGGCGTTGAGTTCATGTTGAGCACACTGTGAAGTTCCTTGACACAGATGTGCGATGTTTGCTATAACTAAAACTGATCTTTACTTGCTGCGAGGGTAAACCAGACTTCATTCGGTTCATTAAGAGCGTAACACAATAAGACTAAATTAAGTCCTATTCAAAACCAATTCGGACTGTACATCTTTAAAATCAAGCACGGCTGCAATTATTTTTAAACTTGGAAACAGTCGGCTTCTTTCACCAGGCGTTTTAATCTCAGGCTTGAGACAGGTATGCTAAGTTGTGGCATAATTATGAGCTGTAGCTGCAGATTTGTGAAAAAGATGAACTGAAGAAGCATAGCGATGACTTTACTGCTTCTTGAGTCCAGCTTGCACCTAACCGTTGTTCAAGAGCAGATCTTGGCAGCAAAAGCAGGTTTATTTTGTTTTTCAGCCCCTAAAGGCTGAAAATAAAGACAATATAAACAGTCAATTTTTATATTTATTATTGTGCATTTTTCTCCTCAGGTGAAGACAGTGGGCAGAATGACTTGTCAACAGACAGCCACTCTGTTGCTGGCATCATCAAGTACAACATGAGAAAGAGCTTAGATCTGGAGCAGGAGGGCTGCTACCTGAAAACTGGCAAGAATGACTGTCTAGAGAAATGTGGCTTCAATGCTACAGCCAAGACTATCTTCATCATCCATGGCTGGACGGTACATATGAATGATAATTTATATCTATCTGTTAATAAGCATCTCTGTGTAGTTTAGGTTATTTCTTTGGCTTCCTAGGTCACTTTCTTGACTTCAGAGTGAATCAAGCTTAAATGTTTTAACTATTTATTTTTGATTGTTGGGGGTAGCAGAAAGATGCTTACATAGTTAACAGTCTGACCAATGACTGACTTCTGCTGTCCTTCCCTCTTAGATGAGCGGGATGTTTGAACACTGGATGCA